TTTATGGGGTTGCTATGAGTCGTGTTCCACTCAAAGGCAATCAACAACAACAATCACAAGATTAATACTTGAGTATAAATCTAACTAGAGATGCAAAAGACTTATACAAAGAAAACGACAAAATATTACTAGAAGAAACAAAAAGAATTCTAGAGAAATGGAGGAATATATCATGCTTATTTATAGGATGACACAATATAGTCAAGATGATCATTCCAAATGCAGTCTAAAAGTTCAGTGCAAACCCAATACGGATGCTGATTCCATTCTTCAGCAAGATGAAAAAGCAAATTTCCAATTTTATCTGAAATGGAAAGAGACCCCGATTTCAAATGTTACTACACAGTCATGGTGGTCAAGACAGCATGGTATTGGCACATAAACAGCACATAGACCAATGGAATACAATTGAGAACTCAGAAATCAACTCATCTACCTCTAGTCAATCAATTTTTTGACAAGGAGAAGTCAGTTAGGTGTGTAAATAGCAGCCTCTTAAACAAATGGTGGCAAAATTGGAAATTTGTCTGCAGAAAACTTAAGCAAGACCCACCTCAAGTCATGCATGAAAACTAACATAAAGCGGATCAGGGACCTAGGAGCAAGACCAAAAACTCTAAAATTCATCAGAGAAAAGCTAGGAACCACGCTAATAGATGAAATCCACAGCATGAAAAGACTTCTAAGAATAACGAAAAACCTACAACCAAGAAAAAAATGAAATAGATGAAACGGGACCTTCTAAGAACCAAATCTTCATGCACACCAAAAAAAATTTCTCCCCCAGGATAAAAAGGAAACCTACAGACCGGGAAAAATATTTGGCAATTACATATCTGATAAGGTTCTCAACAAGAAAAGGGTAAACAATAAAATCACAAAATTGGCACAGGATATGAACAGACACTTCACCAAAGAAGACATTCAGATGGCAAACACAAGAAACGATGTTTTAAATACCTAACTATCAGAGAGATGCAAATCTAAACAACTATGAGATATCATCTCACCCCAGCAATAATAGCAAAGTTCAACAAGGCAGCAAACAACAAATGCTGATGAAGTTGTGGAGAGGTTGGAACTCCTATTCACTGTTGGTGGGAATGTAAAATGGAAGGTGTTTTGGCACTTCTCAAAAAGTTGAAAATAGGAATACCATTTGACCCAGCAATTCCACTGCTGCAAATATAACCTAATGAAACCAGAGCAATGAATCAAACAGATGTATACACACTAATGATTATTGCTGTGTTTTTCACAGTAGCAAACAGATGGAAGCAACCCAATTGCCTATCAGCAAACAAATGGATAGAAAAACTATGGTACATTCACACAATGTATTATTTTGCAGCACTGAATGACAATGAACTTGTAAAACATTATATAACTTGGGTGAATCTAGAAGACATTAAGCTGAGTGAAATATCTCAGTCACAAAGGTACAAATAATGCATAACACCACTGTTATAAAATAGAACTGGCATGACAAGTTGAGGGAGGGGGAAAAAAGTAGATTGACAATAAACACTGCATTGGAACAGATTAGTGGAAGAATTGTCTTAAAGGATATATGATTAGGCATTATATGTATGACAAAAATCTGGAACAAGAAGTGTGTTGCAATGTGAACTGAGGAAGTCGTTAGGGAGAGTGAAGGAAGAAAATGTGCAACAATGACTGAATTAAAACCTAACCTCTGTAAAGTCTTGTTAAAATCACTCTTTTAAAAGGTTGATGACAGCATAACTAAAGAATAATTTTTTAAAAACTGTAAAAGGTATAAGAAAAAAAAGAGAGAAATTTAGGAGTCCTGATCTAAAGCTTAGATAGACTATCAAACAACAAAAAAGTGGACAATCAGGAAAGGATAAAATGGATGAATGAGATCTTCTAAAAATTAATTCTTATGTGCCTCATAAATTCTCATAAAAATAAAAATAGTATTAGGCAATTATGTATCTAAGAATGGAATCAGAGCCAAAATACTTCATCATTTCAACATTAAAAAGACAAAAAGCCCAATTAAAACATGGGCAAAAGACATAAAGGCTTTTCATCAAAGAAGGCATTCAGATGACCAAAAAACAGAAGTGCAAGAAATGCTCAAGATCACTTGTTATTAGAGAGATGCAAATCATAACAACAGTGAGATATTATCTCATCCTAGCAAAAGTAGCTGTTCAACAGGACAGTGAACAACTGATGGTGGCGAAAGTATGGTGCAATTGAAATTCTCATACATTTCTCCTGGGAATGCAAACTGATTCACCACTGTGAAAAGCAATTTGGCATTTCTTTGAAAGTTGTAAATAGAAATACACGTTGACTATTCAGTTCTGCTATCAGGAATATATTTTAAAAAATAAAATAAGTGTTTGGGCAAATACAGATATATGCATACTTATGTTTATTCACCATAGTAAAGAGAGGGAAACAACCCAAATGCCTAAGAACAAAAGAATGAATAGAGAAACTCTAGTATACACACACTATACAACACTGAAATACAACGAAGAATTTGTGAAACACTATACAACATATATAAGTCTAAAGGACATTGCACCAAGTAAAAATAAGTCACAAAAGGACAAAGATTGTATAAAGTCAGTGTTATGAAAGGCTAGAGAAAGTTTTACACACAGAGTGAATCAATCTAGTATAATTACCCAGGACAGGAAGAGGGGTAGTAGAAAATATACCCCAAGGAAATTAGGACTGAGATACAAACGAAGATTTGTACACCAATGTTTATAGCTGCATTATTCACAATCACAATAACATGGGAAAAGCCCAAATGTCCAAACACAACCAAATGGATTGAGAAATTGTGGTACATTCACACAAAGGAATACTATGCAGCACTCAGGCGCAATGCTTTGGAAAAATACTACATAACTTGGGAGAGACTGAAGAGCATTATGCTTAGTGAACTAACTCAGTCTCATAAGGATATATACTGTATAAGACCATTAATGTAAAAATAGAAGGATAACTAGTAAAACGTGTCATGTATGGGAGTCCAAAGGGGAAAGGAGTGGGAGCAGAGGAGAAAAGGATGAGCAGTGGCAAATCAGAGGGTCACAGAATTTAGGGGGTGAAGAAGGGGTTAAAAGAAATAGGAAAGATCTGGTGGGGACCTGAAAAGATGCAGTAATAGTGAGTATAGTTCAATGGTGATTAATTTTACAAGAAACAATGTATGGGAATGATTGTATAAAACACAATGTGAATGAAGGAAAGTGACATAATGATACAAATTTTGCATACAAACCAATATAATTTTTTAAAAAAGACAAAGGGAGAAGAAGCATAAAAGGGGGAAAGAAAAAGTAGGAAAATCACTAATATAGCAGAGGTTAGTGGGTAGATGAGGAATGAAAGAATAGGAATGAATGGAAATTAGAAAAAATGGGATAATAATAAGCAAAGATACATAGTAATTAATTGCTTTGGATTTTGTTGTTCATTTGGAAGCAGGTAGCTATAAAATAATGGTACTTAATGAAAGCCAGCTCCTTAAATTAATTGAGAAGATCCTACCAGCATCTTAAATACAGATAAGCCTTAAATACTGTTGTTGAAGAGATTTAGAAGCCTCATCAGTGAAAATTACCACGCACCATATAGTAGAAAGGTAGGCAATCTCTTCCTCTGTAATTTCCAGCTTCTGAAAATCCACTAGTCAGCTATTAGTCAGTTTCAATTCAACAACATATAATAACAAAAATCAGCAATGAAAGGAAGTGACAAACATCCATGTCCTCTTATTCAAACTGGAGAAATGTCTTCAGAGCGAATACTGTAGAAAGATCTATGGTCTTAAGAGATGTTCTGAGGTAGGTCTTATACATCATAGTTCAGACATCTGGTGGCCTAGTGGTAAAAAGTTACACAGTCGACCTTAAGGCACACCAGCTCGAATCTACCAGCTGCTCTGTGGGAAAAAGATAAGTAATCTCATGTACAATTTAAGGCACCTGAAAACATGCTGGAGAATCAGCTCTGAGTCAGTTCCTACTCAAAAGTACACAATAACAGCAACAATAAAATATTATTAGAGACATCTACACAATTATGAAAAAATAAAGAAGTAACAGATCTAAAATTTCTTCTTTATAAACAATTTAAAAGACACAATTAGTGTTTCACCTAATGTTTGAACGAAACATTTCATTTTAGTAAGGACATTTGGTTTAGTTATTTAAGGAACTTATATCTCAATCATCAGCACCTGGAGAAATGATGGACTTTTTTGGCTATGTACTAAGCGAAGGCATCATACATCTACTTACATCTTCGCAGAACTTCAAGTAAAAACCATTACAGAAATAATCTATATTCGAGAGAATCAGCCGAAAGGTGTAATCTGAAGCATCTTGCATTTGTGTGGCCACAATTAAAGGTTTGGCTATTCTTGCTGGATGTTTTGAAAGAGAAGCTGACTTATGACAGCTCTGAGACAAACCTTGCTGGATATGTTGGATTTGACTGCTGAACTGAAACCAGAGCCTGGAATTAATGAGGAATTATGCCTTGGGATTGTTGGGCTAAAGTCTGGACTTATATTGTGAGATATATTTTGCCCCTCCACTCATTTCTCTAATAAACCCCATTGATGGTATTTAAAAAAAAGTTATGAAGATAGGATTGGAAAAAAAAAAGAGAAAATGAGTCTAGTTAATTCATTTTAATGATGAGAAATGCTATGCTTCCCACAAGATCACCATTTCCTGAACAAATGAACTTTAAATGTCAGAGATAAGCTTTATGTTATGAAAAGGATGATATTCAATGAGGAGCAGGGAACACATAATTTTAAAATAAGGCAAAGAAAGCATAAACTCCTTAATTCAAGGACTTGACCCTAAAACATCACTTAACTCCAAATTACTTCAAAATATAAGTTAAATTATCCAGACTCCAAGTCTCATTGAATACAACACAACTTTTTAAACACATCACTGCTTAAAAAATCTTTATAAAATAAACTTGTACATTACCTGATAATTGTTTTGGTTTTGTGACAATCTCAATTGATTTGATGATGCAAAATGTGGGGGGAAATCACTTCGAGATAGATTTGCATTACTGTACACTGTAGTAGATGTTGTATGTAATGAGGTCCGTGGTGTGAGGTGGTAGTCTCTGTTATAATCCAGTACATTGTCTGACAAGTCTCTAATATTCATCCTTTGTGAATGTGACGTATTTCTTCCAGGTCCAAACAAAGTTGTATTTTGATTCTCAGCTCGAAGGCTATTACTACTGTCATAAAACCTTGAATATCTTGGTATCTGTGCTCCCATCAACGCCAACTCTTCTTCTCTGACATACTCATCATCTGCATTTCCAGTCTCCATTGCAATGGACAAACAAGTTCCTTCTCCTGAACTAGGTTTCTGTGGAACATTTCCTCCAAGAATTCTCTGAGGACAATCACTAACTGCCAAAGAAAACACTTCACGGATTTCTAAGTTTTGTGTCCTACAATAAGGGTCTCTGAATGTTTGCTTTTGCTCACATGAGTTAAGAGATGTCATAGTTGAGTGCTCAGGCTTATATGATCTTTGAATTCCAATTGATTCAATTTTGCAAGGTTGCTGGCACACAGATGGTTTGGGGGGTACCATCATCTCAGAAGTTTGCACTGAAGAATTTCCATGGTTTTTCTTGGAGTGATTATATACAGAATTTCCAGCATTTAATACACTTGTCTGTCTTGACAAAATAATAGTTTTTTCTCCTAGGAGCAAGGAAGCATTTTTACAGTGTGCTACTTGTCTTTGAACAGGAATGTGCAACTGAAACTCAGTATCATTTTTACTGGTAGTTTTCTGAATAGGGGATTTATTTGCTTCCAAAATATGTGTGTTTGTATGTCTGGTTGTCCCTTGCCTATTCAATGAACTTGCTGGACTGTATATACCAGTTACAATTACATCATTGTTGCCAGGTGTCCAAGATGACTGCAGGCTTGAGGGTTGAGCAATATTAACCATGTTTCTGACTGCAACTTTGGGAAGTGCCAAAGAAGTGCTGGAAACAGTTCCTTGTGTTGATGGTCCTGATTCAGAATTCTTACCACTCATTTTTCTTCTTTTATTACCAACCCATGTCTGGAAATACACAGAAAAACGATATTATGAAAAAAATCTCAATGAACCAAGAAAACCAATGTCTAATTTATAAATTTTGTTCTCATTTGCCTTAGAAACAAGATCTATACATACAGAGGGAAAGATAACTCATTCATTACCATCAAGTCAGAACTGACTTGTAACTGACCCTCCATTTAGAGGTTGTACATTGCACAGGAGGAGATTGTGCATCTTCTTAGGAGCCACTGGCGGGATTAGAATTAATAGAAACAACTATCCTTTGGGTTAGCTATTTGGTTAACTCATTGCAAACTATGTCTGAGAGTGCCTACACACAGGAAAAGAAAGCTAAAATATGATGAAAATAAATAAAACAAAATTAAAACTAACTAAAATAAAATTTAAACATGAACAAGTGTTCTAGTAGGTATGGACTCATATTTAAGAAACATTAAAGTACTTTGAGGACAGAGCATATTATTGGTTTTGCCTCAAAATCCATCTGATCCACCCCTCCTTCCACCCACCAAATAGTGCAACCCTATGTTATCCTCCCTGCCCATCCTCACCGCTCTGCTCCCACCCTCTTCCCCACTCTTGGATCTTCATATGGGAAAGATCTTGTGGGGATCTAGAAAGGCAGGGTAATGGTGCGCATAGTTCAATGGTGATTAATTTTATAAAACGTAATGAAAGGAAATGATTGTATGAAACACAATGTGAATGAAGGATAGTGTAAAACACAATGCAAATGAACTTTGTAGGAAAACAAATATAAACTATATATTAAAAGATTCAGACAAGCAATATTTATTATTGTTGTTGTTGTGCACGATAGAGTCAGAACGGACGCATAGCTGAAACTCAGGCAGGTTTTCAGAGGCAGTTAATTGCACAGGAAGAGATTTTCCATTTTCCTCCCAAAGAGTGGTCTCAAAATGATGATAGATAGATAGATAGATAGATAGATAGATAGATAGATAGATGATAGATAGATAGATAATGATAGATCAGTTCAGCCAATCAATATTTATTAAGAAGCCTAAAAAATGTTTATATCCTTTGACTATTAAATTCATTTCTAAGAATTTAATCTAAATAATCAAGATGAAGAAAGCATTTAAATGTTCATCAAATAGCTATTTATAATAGTAAAAAAATACTAAAGACAAACAATTTGATGAAATTGGAATTTTCCAATTCCAATTCATAATATTGTTAACCAATATACAGATAGAATCTTCATCTTCAATGATCTTCGTTGTATAGATACATCATCACTTGATTAATTTTATATCCAAGATATTGAGAGTTAAGTTTAGAAATATGGTTTAGAATTCATTATTAGAAACCACACTGCAATATATATCATTATATATTGGATTTTGTGCTGTCTGTTCAGTGTGAGGGAGTAAAATGTGCAACAATGAATGAACAAAAATCTAACTTCTCTGTTAATGTCTGTTAAAATCACAATTAACAGAAAATTTTATTTAAGAAAACAAACAAAAACCCCATAATGCATGAGAATGGTTGTATGAAACACAATGCGAATGAAGAATAGTGTGAAACACAATGTACACAAACACTGTAAACAAACCAATATAAAATAAATATTTTTTTAAAAGAATACAACATTAGAATAATAACTGCTGGACTTTTGAAGACATGTTTTAACGTCCTTCAATTTATAGCCATTCTGGTTTCTTCACACATGCACTAATATTCTTTTTTGTTTGTTTGTTTTAGTTTTCACTAGTACAGGATTTAACAAAAAGTCTATCATTGCTTCAAGTACTTCAAGTCCTCCTCACTTTCAGCATGAAAGGTTGTGTCATCAGGATAACAGAGGCTTTTGATGAATCTCCCTCCAATCCTGATGCCACACTCGTCTTCAGAGAGTCCAGCTTCTTGAATAATTTGTTCAACGTACAGATTAAATAGATATGGGGAGGGAATACAACTCTTTTCCATTTTAAACGATGCAGTGTGCCCCTGTTCCCCTGCTCTGTTCATTCAACAGCCTCCTGGTCCAGGTATAGAATCCATGTGAGCACAATAAGGTGCTGCGGGACTCCCACTCTTCTCAATGTCAGCCACAATTTTCTATGATCCACACAGTCAAATGCCTTTTTATAGTCAGTAAAGCACAAATAGACGTTCTTCTGGTATTCTTTACTTTCAGGCAGGAACCACCTGACATCAGCTATGATGTCCCTGGTGAAACAGCCTCTTCTAAATCCTGCTTGAACATCTGGAGGCTCGCTATCTATGTACTGTTCTAGCCACTTTTAAAAACAAAAAAATTGTAATTTTAGTTGTGATTTTAACAAAAATATACAGAAATGTTAGATTTTCACGCATTCATTGTTGCAAATTTTACCCCCTCTACTTCTCTTTCCCCTCCTCAAGTTGACTTTTTCTATACTAGTTTATTTACAAAATTTAAATACAAAGTTTTGAAGAACAAATTCTTACATTTTCCCTCATCCCCACCCACCCATAAAATTTTAAAACTCCTTGAGAGGATGTGGTGAGAAAGGAACTCTTATACATTCTTGGTTGTTGTTGTTATGTGCCGTAGAGGCATTTGCGACTCATAGCGACCCTATGTACAACAGCCCTAAACCCACCTCTATCCTGTGCCAATCACACTGCCTCTGACACACCCATCCCGATTACCCCAGTCACTGAATCAATCCATCTCATAGAGGGTCTTCCCCTCTTGCGCCGTCCCTCCACCCTCCCAAGCATGATGTCCCTCTCCAAGGACCTGTCCCTCCTTGCAACATGCCCAAAGTATGTCAGATGAAGCCCCAGAATCCTTGCCTCCAAGGAGTAGCTTGGTTTAACCCTCTCCAGGATGAATCTGTTTGTTTTCTTGGCAGTCCATGGTACATTCAATACTCTTCTCCAGCACCACAGCTCAAAGGCATCAATTCTCCTTCTGTCCTTCCTAGTCATTGTCCAACTCTCTGATGCATAACAAGTGATTGCAAAGACCATGGCCTGTATCAGGCGCACCTTAGTCTCCAGAGAGACACCGTTGCTCTTGAGTACTTTACAGAGGTCATTAACAGCATACTTTCCCATCGCAATACATTTTTTTATTTCCTGACTGCTGGTGCCAAGAGTGTTGACTGTGGAGCCGAGCAAACTGAAGCTGTGAACAATCTCAATCTCTTTACCATCCATCTTGATGCTACCAATTGGTCCAGTGATACATTGTTGGTAGGATTTTAAAATGGTACAACCATTCTGGAAGGGAGTTTGTTGCTTCCTCAAATAGCTGAACATAGAAACTCCATATGACCCAGCTATTCCATTACTTGGAATATATCCTGAGAAAAGGGGAACTGAGGCACAAACAGAGATTTGTACACCAATGTTCATAGCAGACATTATGCGCCATCGCAAGATTATGGAAACAGCCCAAATGTCCAACCACAAATGAATGGATTGAGAAATTATGGAACATTGGCACAGTGAAATATTACACAGCATACAGGAGCGATGATTTTGTAAATTACTCCCTAACTTGGGAGGGACTGAAGAGCATTATGCTGAGTGAATTAACTTAGTCCCACAAGGACAAATATTGTCTAAAACTATTATTGCAGAATGAGTATAAGGATCGAAGGGAAGTGGGGGAGGGTGGAAGCAGAGGGATGAGGATGTTCAGGAGGAGGGAGAGATTAGTCATGGAGTTGTTCTAGACATTTTTTAGTGCTCTTCAGCAGTATTTTACTTGTTGTTTTTATGTGCCAATGAGTCATTTGTGACTCATAGTGACCCTATGCACAACAGCCCTAAAACCTGCTCTGTTCTGTGCCAATCTCACTGTCTCTGACACACCCACCCTGATTACCCCAGTCACTGAGTCAATTCACTCATAGAGGGTCTTCCCATCTGCGCTGTCCCTGCACCCTCACAAGCATGACGTCCTTCTCCAAGGACATGTCCAAAGTATGTCAGATAACGCCTCAGAATACTTGCCTCTGAGAAGCAGCCTGGTTTAACCCTCACCAGGATGAACCTGTTCATTTTCTTGACAGTTCATGGTACATTCAATACTCTTCTCCAGCACCACAGTTCAAAGTGATCAATTCTCCTATCCTCCCTAGTTACTGTCCATCTCTCTGATGTATAACAAGTGATTACAAAGACCATGGTCTGTATCAGGTGCACCTTTGTCTTCAGAGTGACACCATTGCTCTTCAGTACTTTGGAGAGGTCCTTAATAGCAGACTTTCCCATCGCAATATGTCTTTTAATTTCCTGGCTGCTGGTTCCAAGAGTGTTGACTGTGGAGCCAAGCAAACTAAAGCTGTGAACAATCTCAATATCTTCACCATCTATCCTGATGCTACCAATTGGCCCAGTGGTGAGAATCTCTGTCTTCTTGATATTGAGCCTCAATCCATGTTGAAGTTAATGATATTGTTCAGTAGTTTCCACATTCATTTGGATCACCTTTCTTGGGAATAGGAACAAATATGAACCTCTTTCAATTAGTTGGTCAGACAGTTGTCTTCCAAATGTCCTGGCATAGACTGGTGAGTACATTCAAGGCTGCATCTGTTAATGGAAACAAGTCAATTGTTATCCCATTAATTCCTGGGGCCTTATTTTTTGACAATGCCTTCAATATAGCTTCCACTTCATCCTTTATTACCATTGGTTCCTATTAACATAGTACTTCCTAAAATTTTTCAGTTTTTTCTGGTACCATGATTCTTTGTATTTCCTCCATTTTCCTTTGATGATTTCAGGGTTGTTCAATATATTGTCAATAGTATCTTTCAATATTGAGTTAATTTCAATTCAAAGAATGAAGCCTTTTAAATGGATTGCATCTCAATGTCAAGAAAATAAAGATTTTTACCACTGGATCAATAGGGAACATCATGATAGATCGAGAGGACATTGAAACTGTCAACAACTTCATCTTGCTTGAATCCACAAATAACACCCTTTGTATCAGCAGTAAGGAAATAAGGAGATGCATTGCACTGGGA